ATGTTCACCTTGCTGTCGTTTTTCCGTCTACTTCACTATCTTCAACAGACCAAGAATGTGGGTATTCTCTTTCCTTCTCATGGCTCTCTCACTCTTCAAGCCTACTATGATTCGCATTTTGCTAGGTGTATTGACACCCGTTGTTCGGCGACTGGTTGGTGTGTCAAATTAAGGGAGGATTTTGTTTCTTGGCGCTGTAAGAAGCAGGATAAGGTCTCTAAGTCTTCCACTAAGGCTGAGTATCGTTCCATGTCTGATGTGTTCTGAATTAGTCTGGCTGCAACATCTCCTCCTTGATTTTGGTGTCACTCTGCTTATCCTCTCTCTTTATGTTGACAACACCAATGCTATTCAGATTATTGTTAATCATGTTCTTCATGATCGCACCAAGCATATTGAGATTCACATTCACTAAATTCGTGATTTGGTGTCTGAAGGTACCTTAGTTCTTCACTATTTACCTATGGAACATCAAGTGGTTGATCTCTTCGCCAAGGCTTTTCTGCTAGTCGTCATTGGTTCATGTCTAGCAAATTGATGCTTCGCGAGAGGCATCAATTTGGGGAGGTTGTTGACGTGTATATATATATATATATATATATATATATATATATATATATATATATATATATTGCATGGATCGACCCGTGCATTGTAGGCCCTTGTGACGTGTAGTTGGGCTAGGGTTGGCCGATTTGCTCTCGTCCTCCCTCATTGTAGCTATATATATATAGCTATTCTGGCCTCTTGTAATCGCACCAAAAACCTAATAAGATCCTATAGCTCGGAGAGTTCCTACTCTCCCGTGAAGATATCATGTAAATTATCCTTAATAGTTGGACTAACTTTTTTGTAGTGAAACCATCCTTAATAGTTTGACTAACTTAATCGAGACACTTGGGTCGTTTGGATGTGGAAATGTAATGTAGTAATTGGACTCAATTACCACATAATGCAGTAATTGGGTTAAAAACCCACGTTTGGAAGAGCAAAAAGGGTATGGGAATTGGACCATGGAAATTAGCTTCAATTACCACATTCATGGTAATTGAGAATACTACACCTCCCCTAGTAATTTGACATTACCACGTTTTCTTACTTCTTTTTCCAAATTTCACACCATCAATTCCCACAAAACTAAACCCTATCCAAACGTGATTTTTTTTCCAATTTCCACAAGTCAATTCCTTGGTTTTCTAAAACATGGAAATTCAGACAAATTCCAACGTTTTCAAATTTCCACATCCAAACGACTTAATAAATTTTTCTTTGCTATAATATACACTCACAGGATTTTAGTTGCATAAGAAGCATCATGGTGCTTGGAAAATGAATTACATTCTTAACTTTAGACAAATCGATTTTTAGTTTTAAGCATACCAAATCTTGAACATTTTACATACAAATATTTGATATTTTTAAGCATCCAGACATCAGTACATCACGGTGCAAAAGAAGATGGCAAAGGAAATCACCATCATAAGAGGAATCGGACGACGTGATGGTGGTACAGTCATCTCTCATAGAAGAAGATAACACACGACGACGAGAATCTTCCAACAGTAAGATTCTGGCAAGAGAGGAAATGTCATCGCTAGAGCTGGGTAATGATTACGATGAAATGAGAGAATATAGTGCAGTACTCGACCCAATCAATTTGTATTTTTCGAGGCGAACCAATAATCAGATCGATCATATTATGGTCCATATTTCTGTTTTGGGACCAGGAAGAAGTTTGGACCAATATCTTCTCAACTTCTTTATTTTTTATTTAGATTTTATCGCTTCAAACATCGAGAGAAAAACTATCCAGAACCGATAAAAGGATCTAAAATGGAATAAAAAATAAATAGGGGTCCAAATATCTTTCACCTCTTGTTTACTTATGATAGTATATTTTTGGTTTAATTCACCCGTGTAGCCATAACTTTCACGGTTTTGACAAATATAGCCACTTTTTTATTAATACACAGATGTAGCCACACTTTTCAAACATTGTGGACTAATCTAGCCATTTTACTTAAAACATTTGACGGTGTTAACGCCTTCGTCAGTTAAGTGGACTTTTTGATGATATGTCAGCCAAATGGATGACACGTCAATGCCAACCGGATGGAGTTAGCCACGTGGACGCCACATCGGAAAAAAAATTATTTTCTTATAAAAAAAAGTAAAAAAATAATTTTTTTTATTTAACTCTCTGTCTCTCTCCCCTTCATCGTCATCATGGACTAATCCCCTTCCTCTCTTATTTTCTAGGGTTCATAGAGCAGAGACTGATTTTCAATCCCTTCTTCTCATTTTCAATCCCTTCTTCCTTCCATCTTCAATCCCTTCCATCGAGACCTCCTCTCTACCCCAACTCCTCACTGCCGTCGACGCCTCTTTCTCAGCATCAATCCCTTCCGTCGAGACCTCCTCTCTACCCCAACTCCTCACTGCCGTCGAGACCTCCTCTCTACCCCTTCTTCTCATTTTCAATCCCTTCTTTCTTCCATCTTCAATCCCTTCCTTACATCTTAAATACACCAATATCCCAGCCATTCCTTCATCTCCGTTTCCGACAGTTGAATCCATGTCGAATAGGTCTGGAAAGAAGGTGGATTTCAATGTTGCTGATTCCGGATCAGCAAGCACCAATAATAGGAGTGTCGTTCGATGCGAGCACAACGTCCCATGTGTTCTTAAAACTTCGGGTACTTCTACGAACCCAGGGCGACAATTCTACGGTTGTCCTTATTGGAAGGTAAGCAATACATTCTTTGTGTGACCCAATTGGTTTTTACCTACCTTTTCGACGGTCATGCTTATTATTTTGCTGCAGGATAGGAAAAAAATTGTCTATTTTTTCGGTGGGTGGAATCAAACGATGGTGAAACTGGCTCATGGACTAATGAAATGGGTTCTATTCAGAATCAGGAAGAGAGTCTAATTCTAGCATAAAGGAAGGTAGAGAAGATGAAGAAGGAAAAAGAATTGATGGCCGAAGAACTAAGTAGATTGATGCTTGCTCATGAGGTTATGGCAATGTGTGTTAGGAGATTGGATGATGATGTCCGTATCATTCGATACCTGTTGATTGGTGCTGTATTTATCTTTGCTATTTTGGTTGTTCTTATTTGGAGGCCAGGATCTGGTCTGTAGTAGTTGGCATTCTGTGTAAGCTTAGGCAAATGTATGCAAGCTTTAAATGTAAGGATCTTAAGTGTGTTCTCTATTTCCTTAAAGCAACATTGTCTTTGTTTTGTTCAGACACATATATTAAGCAAGTGCAAATGGGTGCACATCAAAAAGGTGTTCAATAGAGTACATCATACACCTGCAGCTAACAAGCTGTCTGCAATAGCTAAAAGTGTGTTCATTTGCATAAAATAACTTGCTGCCTAATATGCTAAGAACTGCTTCCTGAGTCATGTAACCGTCGTTATATAGCAACGTGCACATAAGTGTCTACTATCGACGTTACACAAAAGATGACTTAAGTCTAATATATTCTGCCTAAGTCTAAGGCTGACTAGGTGGTGGCTGACTTCCATGCAGGTCCACGACAGTTGGCTGAGGTCCACGAACTGGCCTCCTAGCAGCTCCGTTAAGCTGAAATGATTAATCTCTAATAAACAAGTCAGACACACACATCCAAGAAGCGATTAAACAAATTGGGGAACTCCACATACAGCCAAAGAGAAGCACGAGAAGTGGAAGACTTTATAGTAAATGACGATTATAACTAGAGGTTCTATGTGTGTACCGTCTTTTTCAGGGGCAATCTCGTGAAAAAAAACTTCTGCTGGTCCCTCGAAGAAGTTGGGAATGTCGCTTTCCACCTTTGAACCTATAAATACACAACACGCACTTCATTCATTCATTCGAACTGTGAAAAGAAGAAAACCATAGCAGAAAACTAGAGTAGTTCACAATGACTCACCAATCGCACGATTTAGGGTTTCTTAGCAACGCGAGATTTAGGGTTCCTCCGCCGATGGTTCTTAGCCGTCGTCAGCCGAACTGCCGAAGTCAGTACCGCCGTCCAAAGAAAGACCGTCCGATGCTACTCGCCGGCCGAATTCATGGCTTCCTTTTGTCGACGATCGCGAAGGGTTGGGGTGAGTCGAGAGAAAAGGAGGAGAGTTTTTTTGGGAAAAGTTGAACGAAAAAGAGGAAAGTGATCTGAATCCCCTTTTCGTCTTCTTCTTTGTCATTTGACTTTTTTATTAAAAAAAAATGTTTTCCACGTGGCAAAGACGCAAATGAAAACACGCCACATCAGCCGCGACCGTTAGTCCAGTCAGCGAGTTAAGTGAACCGTCAAAGAATTGGACGGAAATGGCTACATCTGTGTATTATTCAAAAAGTGGCTACATTTGTCAAAACCGTGAAAGTTATGGCTACACGGGTGAATTAAACCTATATTTTTCATCAGGGCAACATGCGAAAAAGTAGTTAAGCTTAATCAGATTCTACAAACCTATAAGGAAGAGGAGACTGGTATTTCTTTTACCCCAAATGTGAAGGATGATAGACAAGCAACGATGACAACCATTTTGGGAAATGAGGAAAGTCTCACATCATGAGAAATAATTAGTTAGGCTCGCAATTGTAGGCAGACAAAGAAGGGCCTTTTTGGTGTGTTGGTGGATAGAATGCGAGCAAAATTAAAGTTGTGGAAGGGTCGAGTAATGCCTATTGATGCCAGAGAGGTTCCGATCAAGATCAAGGCAGTCGCACAGGCACAAGCAACTTATATTGTGCAGTTTTCCATGTACCTCCGAGTGTAATACAAGAAGTTAGAAGTCTTATTGCGAGTTCTTGGTGGGGTTAGAAGAAAGAGGAAAGGAGGATTCATTGGTCGAAGTGGGATTGTATGTGCAAATGAAAAACGGAGGGAAGGTTGGGTTTTAGAGATATGCACAGTTTTCAATCTGCGACGACCGTTTCAGGGGAAACACGGTGGTTCTCAGGGAGGGCAGGAAGGCCGCATAAGATGAAGGAGGGAGAGGGACTGTTTAATAGGGTGTCTCATTTGAGACTCATTTTGGACAAATACGTAAATTACACATTAAAAATAGGACGATAATTAGTAATTTTAAGATGACCTATCCAGTAATTTTATAATTTTATTATTTAAAATATATCAATTTAACTATCATCAAAACTATATTATAAAAAACACCCTAGCACAAACATGATCATTATCAAGCCCATCACTTCGAGGTCCCTCAAATTTTGGAGGCACTTGTCCCAGCACATGCTATGACCCAGGTCTGTATCTTCTAGTGCAAGCAACCTGTTTCCATTGATGCATGTATCTCTTCAAGGGTTCTTCCTTTGGTCTCTGGTACCAGTTTCCAGGTGAACACAACAATTCCCCCACAAACTAAGGCGAAAATGAAAAATGTCCCTACAATAATAAGAGAATAACCATTTGTGAATGAAAACAACTATACATCCTAATTCCTAGCTCACTAAGTCACTTGCATATATTATACGTAAAACATACGCTAGACTTTGCTAATATATTTCAAGTAATGTACGCTAAAATCGTAACTAAAAACTTATTACATCATCTTATAGTTTTTTTTCTTGTTTTTTTTCAAATAGAAACGTTACCTGCGGCGCTACATTGTAGCATGAAGTTGAAAGTGTAAGTGACGAGCCAAGAAGATGACCAATTTACTAATGTGACGAGAGTTCCAGCTACAGCCTTCACGCTCATCGGAAATATCTTCCAAAAAGAAAAATAGAGAACTATTTTCAGCCAATATGTGATTTATGTCCAATTTTATTTTGGAAAAAAACCAAGTAATTTCCAAACCTCGGACATCATGGTCCATGGAATGCCTGCCGCCCCAATTGAGAAAGCTGCTGTGTATACCTACACAGTCGTTAAAGTACTTCTTTTAAGACTATAAAAAATTTGGTAAATACAATTTATTAGTTAAACTGTTTTAATTTTTTAAATTATTAGCCAAATTATTAGAAATACAAAATATTAGTTAAACCTTTTATAACACATCAAAATATTAGCATTTGTGTGTTACTGTTGGTAATTTTATGACTCTTTTTTATGGAAAATACTAAAAAAAAATAATGATGAAATTAACGTGTCCATGTCAGTTGCATGTTGGCAAATCATTATTACTAACAAAACTGTAAGCGTGGAAAGTTAACATTTGACTAATATATTGAATTTTGAAAGGTCTTACTAATAATTTGGAAAGTTCCAAAGATTTGGATGATAAATTGTATTTATCCTAAAAAATTCATAATCAAATGAAAAATACTTAGCAATTCATTCTTGTAGTTTTGTTCACTTTCATTTTATCTTCTTGTTTCAATTTCAGAAATCTAGCAACGGAAATGAGAAAACATGCTTATTTTTCATTATGTTTTTTTTTTGTGTTGGTTTTCAGCTATGGAAATAGAAAATGATAGCTTCTTGTTGTTTCCGCTAGTTTCAACTTCGTTTTCTTAAATTTCCAATGAAAAACACATTTTTGTATGGATGAGATGAAATAATTGAATGCCATTACTTATATTTATTTTTAGTAATTTTAATTTAGTAATTTTAATTTTAAATTTATCTAACTTTATCTTTTTAATAGATATAACTACTTTGATACAAATGAAGCAAGAATTCATTTTAATTCAAAATGAATTACTTAAAGAATTCATTTTCAAATAAATTTATATTTTTGAAATGTTATATTGAGATGTTATATTACATTACATTAGATTTTATTTCTAAAAGACACTAGAAAATAAATTTTATTAGTTAGATCATTCCGGTTTTGGTTTCGGAATTAGCCAAAAGTTCTAGCTAAACATGTTTTTATTTTTCAGGTTTTGTTTCTAAGAAATGATAGTTTTGATTCCTTCAGGATATGTTTTCCGATGCCACAACCACGAAAAACGAACATGAAAATAGACTTATATATTCTCACTTACAGTAAGACCAAGGACGGTTAAAATTGGAGTCAAGTCGCTCAAAAGATTAAGGCTCTGTGGATGAACAATTTGGCAGAACAAAACACAGTAAGATCAGCGCTATATAAAGTTAATTCATTCATATCACACTACAAAACCAAAGAAAGCGTTTTTTATCAAATAATTATATCTGAAGGCAGCAAAATGGTCACCCAATGCAGTATTAGCAACCAGTATGGTGATTTTAGGAGCATTAGCAACCAAGTTGTTGCGACCGAATTACTACATTTGGTCGCAAAATGATATGTTTCTAGGAGTCGAAGTCCCGATGAATTTTTAGTTACCTGCAATACAAATGATAATCCCACAAGAAAGCTGCAGAAACACATTCCACCAGCAGAAACCTGCATAATATTTTTTTTATTCCACCCGCTAGTTAATTAGTAAATTCATTAACTTTATTGAGTTAAATAATTAGTTGAATCGTCAGTCTTGCTAATTAAGTAGTAATACGTACCATGAGCAGTGGTCTTCTTCCTGCAAAATCCATCAACAACAGGCCTGCCGCTGCTGATGGTACCTATAAGAAAGTAAAATATGCCAAACATATTACGACCGAAAATGGTTGCTAAAAGCAACAGAACGATTCGATAATTTTTGTCCTAATGTCAAACTTGAACAGGAAAATATTTAAAGTTTGCTTTACACAATGATCGAATTTACTGGCCCAATACCTGTACTGTTGAGATAATGATGGTACCGGTGCTAGTAGGAAATCCTGTATCCAAAGATCAAAGGTTTAATTTGCATATACACGTTCAAAGACACGTTTTTACACCTATGCTTTATCTATATAAAAAAAAATCAGGATTCCAAATCTGTTGGAAACTTGATCTAGCTGCTTGATTTACTTACCAGCTCTCTCAACTATGGCACTAGCATAAGATGAAATTCCTGAATTTCCTCCAAGTGGTTGTAAAAGCATTAGACCGAGTCCAACCTAAATCGGGGATCATAGTGCAAGTTAGCTCGAGGTCACAAATTTTCTTGAAAGATAGCTTAGGTTAGGGGGACTGCTTAGCTCTTATTAAAGGTTTAATTTGATAATTAGTCTCACAATGAGGGAGTATGCATATTTCTTCTGGAAAAGGTCTGTGACTTTGGCATTTGAATCCTTTTTCATAGAATCCACATTACTCTGCACAGTTGAGGAAAAAAATTAAACAACGGTCATAATGACTATTTACCCAATACCAATACATATCGAACGAATATAATTGTTATCCTAAAAAAAACCTGCGGCACGTTGAAAGATAAACAGTTTAAAAAAAGAAGAAGAGATTTTACTTTAATCTCTTCTTTTTCTTCAGAGATATCAACGTTCTTGCCTCTCAACCATTGCAATGAAGCTTCAAACTCTTTAGCTCTTCCAACTTTTGCCTGAAAATTACGTTTAGATACACGAACATTAACACATCACACCTCATCGTATTTATTGCCAATTTAGTCCCAGATAAACTCAACTCACCAACCATCTTGGAGACTCAGGAATGAAAAATAGCCCCACAAGTTGTAGGATCCCCGGGACAAGACCTAATAAGATAAAGGGAAAAATTAATAGGTAAAAAAATTACTGAAATAATTAAAATAAAAAAAACACGGCAAGATAAAGAGCTTTTCCCCTACCACTTGCAGAAAGGGTCGCCAAAACAATGATATAGTGACGAACCACGGCGTTTTACGACCATGTTGTGACTCTTGCTTACAGTGAAATTAAGAAGGATAAAAACAACAAATAGATGATTCTACCTACCAATTAGGGCTAATGTGCGCCAGGAAACAAAATTTCCCACCAAGAAAACAACTGAACACCCGAAATTTATCAGCAACTGGACCATCCACAAAAAATGAAAACATATTAGCAGAAGATTAGCACAAGTAATTATATACTTTCCAAATAACACATACAGCATCTCTTTCCCTGCTACCTGGCTGGCATATGAAAATGCTCCTCTGGAATCTTTGGGTGTTACTTCTGCCACGTAGATAGGGACCTACTAGCCAAAAATATAGAAATACAAAATATTAGTAAATTTTTCTCTAACACATCAAAATATTAGTAATAATTTTGTAATTTTTTAAATTAAATACTAAACTTTTGGAATGTTGACCTTCATGTATCTCCTAACTCAGCATCATATTGCCAAGTCAACATTACCAACGTATAAAATTGTTGACTTGAAATTTAACGTCTGTATGATACTTTATATTTCGAAAGAGTTCACTAATAATTTAAAATGTCGGCACAAACCCGATTCGAACTGTACTGAGTTAGTGCGTTACCACGTAGGTGAGGAACCCAACTCCAATCCCAGTTGAAAGCCTTCCCATGTCAAGCCACCAGGAACTCTGTTTCCTCCAATGCATCAATATAACATGAGATTAATTTAAAAAAGTTGTTTGGATTGAGTATTTGGAGGTGTTATTTGATATCAAATAACATGTTTGGCTGACAAAAATGGGATGTGTTATTTCTTATTTGGATGTGGTGTTTTGCCAAATAACACAAAAAATGTAGTTTGCCAAATACTTTGGAGGGGCAAGTATTTGCCAAATAACAAGTTTGAAATTAAATATCACATACTAAATAACAATTTTTATACTATATAGTATTTATACAGTAATAAGCCCCAAATAACAAATTTGCCAAATCATCAATCCAAACCACCAATAAGTTAATCTATTAAAAGAAAAGGGATGAGATTTGAAATTTACTTACAGTGGCAAGTGCTATTGCAAGCCAGCCAATGGTGCAGAAAACCTGTGACATCCACATCGTCTGCAACAATTCCATGTGCACGATATTTTATTTTATTTTAACCTAATCAGTAATTAATTAACTCCATTTTTTCATAAGCAATTAACTCCATTCAAATCAAATACAATAATAATAATAACTTACGTATTTGCAACCAAGAACTGCCGTCATTCTCCCACAAAATAGAGCCCCAATCATCCCGCCAACCGTCATAATTGACCCAAACATTGAGTACTGTATGTACAGTACCATAAACCAATTAATAATTCCATTAAATGAAGATTCGCATCCATAAACCAATTAAGAATAACGGTTTAAGGTCGGAAATAAAACTAGCCACCCAAAAAAAATTGAATCCCGAGGGATATAAAATGTAGAATATTTTCTACGTCCAACCAAAATTGAAACTAAGAATTTTTCTAATGGAAATATCACGAATAGAGGCGACGAGAGCAAGGTCGCCAAAAGAAGAGAGAACCTTTCGTTCATTAATGAACCAGAACCACAAGCGAAAAGATAAGGCAACGAAATTCCATTTACCAATTATGATGATGGGGAAAAAATAAAGAGAACAATATTCACAAAGAAAATCGACTTAAAAAAAAAAGGGAAGACCAGCAAGTTCTGGAATGGACTATATGGCTGGGAGTGAAGTATTGAAGCAGGATTTTGGTAGTTTGTACGTAGTTAAAGTGTACTTTTAGTACGATTTTACTATTATGATAAAGGTGATACGATTTTACTTTTTGTGATTATGCACCAGATCAAACTCTTGTTCGCAAACTGTTTTGTCCGATGTTTATATCCCGTCTGAGTTTAATAAAGTTTAGATTTATCATTAAAAAAAAGTAAGAAAACTGAATCTAATCAAAATAATTTAGGGTTATTTGATTTCTATTCATTAACATACGAGAAAGACCAAAAAAATATATTACTTACATCGGCAACAGAAAGCCCCAAATCTTTGGTAATTCCATCTTGGGTTGGTGACGAATATGATAACTGCTCCCCAAAGACACCAGAGCAAAAGAAAACAAAGGGGAGTCGAATAATTAGAGACAATATATATAAAATGCTCTTCAAATTCTCACTAATTAATATATAAAATAATAACACATTATGGGAAAAGAATCAGCTAGCCATAAGAGAAAATAAAATACTACAGAATATTTATAACAACGATTTCCTTCGTTTTTTGGTGACCACTTTGGTCGGTCACAATAGATCATGTTGTGTTATAACTTGATAATAATTGTCTCGGTAATTAAGATCATAATTTAGCGCAGCTATTACTAAGTAATGAATAGGAACAAACACCATAACCGTGCTTGAAATTAAGATCGTAATTAGCAAACAACCTTAGTTTAATCAATAGTAACGAATACTATGTTACTTACAGCAACGCCATAAGTGAAGGAGCCACAAACGGCGACGAGGGTGCTGAAGATAACGGCGGGCGCCGCCGCCGGCGACGATGTTCCTCCGGCGCCGGTGTAGCTTTCAGCAGCAGCTTTTTCCAGAAGAGGCTTCTTTAGCAACCCTCCTTCCATTTTCGTCTCCTCGTTCTTATCCATTATATTCTTTCCCCTTCTTCTCTTTCTCCCACTCCTTTTTTCTTTCCCCTCTGGTGATTTCCAAAACAAAGCTGTACTGACATGAATTGGAATATATATAGACCGGCCGATTGGAAGAGTGCTGGGCAACAACAGTTAGCTATGAGCTCACTGCAAGACTAAAAAAAAAAAAAAAGCGACAAACAAACAGTGATTGCAATGATGTTGAATTATTTTGGCCGGCCCCTTTCTCTCTCACATCGTGTCTCTTACTTTTGTCCTTTCCAAACAACTTGTTATATGGTGACAACACACCTGTTATTTTTACGTTACATTCCCCTAGAAGATGTGACTTAATGTTTCTTTTCTTTTATATATATATTTTTTATTATCATAAATATCTTTCCTGGAATGCTAAATGTCATTCTAATAGATAGTGTACTAAACTTAAAAATTACTCGGTTGTTAATTTTAAAATTTTAAGGCAAAATACACTTTCATAGTCAAATCTATTCGCGTTGTGACAAATATAGCCAGTTTTTGAAAAATACACTCGTATAGTCACTTTTGAAAACTTGACTGGCAAATTTTAGCCAATTCCGTTACTAACATAAACGGAAAGACAGACGCCGTCAGTAAGCCCTCCGTGGCGCTGAGGTGGATGTCACGCGGTTGCCACATCATCGCCAACTCGACATCATTTATCCATGTCATTTTTACCTTTTAAATTTACCTTCTTTATTTTTACCTTCTTTTCAATTCCACTCACTCCTCTAAACTGTCGACCATTATCAATCCCCATTCTAGGTTTTGCGGAGGAAAACCCCATCCCCGCCGCCGCTCTCTCTCGATCTCTTACCCATCGCCGTCGCTTTCTCCCTCTATATTCCCCATCGCTTTCTCCTTCTCTCCTCCCCATTGCCTTCTCCTTCTCCTTCTCCTTCTGTCCTTCCCATTTCCTCACTTCTCCCTCTGTTTTCCAGTCGCCGATTTATCCAGTCGCCGATTTATCCATGTCGCGCAGGATTGGACGGAGAAATGTCGGGAGGGATTTGGGCGATTCTGGGTCAACGAACATCAAAAGTGAAGGTGTTGGTGATGTCATTTGCAAGTGCAAACTCCCTGCTTTGGTACAAACTTATGGGACTAAGTTGAACCCAAGCAGACAGTTTTATGGTTGCCCTAATTGGATGGTAAGCAAATCGTAGTTTCTATGAACTATTTTATGACCTATTGTGTCTTAGGAACGTCAATTTTGCAGGATCCGAAATGTGGGTGCAATTTTTTTCGTTGGGTGGAGTCAAGTTCTGATATATCAGAGGCACGAAACAATGATGTTGACGGTATGATGATGAAGTTGGAAGAAAGCTTAAGGCTGGCCGAATCGAAGGCAGTGAGAATGAAGAAGGATAAGCTACTGCTGGAGGAGGAGTTATGCAATTGGATGAAAATGGAGAGAGATCGAACAACTGTATATCAGAATTTGTATAATGAATTGCGAGTGATTCGATATATGCTTAGTTTCTTCTTGGTTCTTAATGTCTTACTGATTGTGTTTCTGTGGAAGCAGTAAGTTTGTATCGATCGTATGTAATGTGCACGTTGAAATTTGAAGTTGGTATGAAATTGAAAGTTTGCAAAAGATAGCATGGAACGATTGAACCTAACATAATCCTTGCGAAATCATCATGTTTCTACAATAGTCTGGAGCACACATTAACGAGCATGATAGTTAGTGCCTGATTACATTCTGACATTTGAGTTGAACATCAACCTAAGATAAAGAGTTTCCTTCAGCTACACCTAGCAAACAAGCCTAAAACTTAACATAAATTGTCTTAGCCGAATTACATGAGTCGACAAAGCTGCTTCTAAGCAAGGGTTGGATGCCCTGTACAAAATTTGGACTCATGAGAAGTTAACTACACTTCTAAGGTTGGGTTGGTGGCGGCTGGCTCCCTGGCAGATCCATCTCAGTAGGCTGGGTTGGAGGTGGATTCCCAACAAATCTCCCATTTGCCCCATTCAGCTGCATCCAACAGACCCTAGTGGAGAGAAATAGGATCAGTATAAAAAACATGAGAAATATTCAAAGTACAATCACATGAAATATTATTATACCTTCTGCTGGTCCGATATAATAGTCCATCCTCTACCATCAACTAAACCTAGTTCTTCAGTTAGAATATCCACGAACCATGTCCAAGAGTTGGTATTTTCTCCTTCCACAACCGCCCAGGCAATTGGAAACATCTGGTTGTTTCCATCTTTACCCACTGCTGTGAGCAGCATACCTTTTACCTCCCCTTTAAGAAAACAGCCATCCAGACCAAACATCGGACGACCGCCTAAAAGGAATCCATCCTTCAAACAGGAAAAGCCAACATATAAGCGCTTGAATAAGCACTTATCCTCATCTGGGTGCGGGTCAACTTCCAGCTGGAAACGACCATCCCTATCCCTCTTCTTCAACTCAGCTACATAACTCCTAATCAATTTATACTCATCACTCAACGACCCACTTAACATCTTGATAGCCTCTACTTTAGCTCTGTAGCAAGTTCTCTTCTTCACCTCCATATAGTGTTTTAACTTAACCTCAGCCATAATCTGTTCCGGAGCCCACTCTGGGTTAATTCTGAATCTCTCTAACATATCTGAGGCAATCCACTTAGCTGTGACTTGGTTTACTGAGAGACGCCTTGCACATGTGTGTGGCAGCCCCACTTTCCTTATCATGAAGCACTTATCCTTCCTGAACCAGCTTGCATACAACCTCCATTGACAATTCCCATCTTTACACTTAACCTCTCTCCTCGTAGGGTTGCTCCGAGTCCATCTCAGACATGCATCATGTGCTACAGAATGTCTTACAACGCCATCTTTGAACTGCTCTACCCCATCGAATTTCATTCTACATACAAACTCAAGTTTCTTATGGTCGCAGAGTGGATCACACTGTGGTGCATCATCATACAAATCACCATCCTCCTCATCTGATAAGTTGCCCCTTACATGATCTGATTCTTCTGACAATCTGTAGTTTGAATGCTGAGAGCCCTCCCCATTAACATCAACTCGAGGTGGCTGAGCTTGTTCAGGTGGCTAAGGTTCTTCAGGTGACTCATTGTTCTGAAGGGGAGTGGAGTGCTGTGAATTCTCACCATCATCTTGGCCTTCCTCCTCCCCATTTTTAGAGTGAGATTCTTCAAATTCCAACAGCTGGTCTACTTCTTCTCCACCGGCAGCAACTCTTGCAATCACTCTCCTTTTCATCCCTTCACCATATGCACGTAGGTTAGCTCTAGCCTCGTGATATTCATCATATGATGTCATTGCGTCATCGGAGTCATAAACATGATATATATCAGGAGCAACAGAAGCATCTCCAACATTGTGGCTGCCTAGCGAATCCTCATCATGACCAATCTGATTTGTGTCATTTTCGCCCACCAATTCATCCCACGAGTCTGCCATCTGTTAAGATAACAACCTTATTGTCATTATATACTATATAATTACATAATTAATAGTTAATTAGTCTTAAGTGGAACCAACTTTCTGCTTTACAATAAACAAATCGCATACAACAGGCTATCCACTAAAGAATTGCGAATTAAATAACCAATTTCAAAGCACATTTGTCGTCACTACAAATTGACTTTTGTATCCAATGTGATGAGCTTCTTACCGTTTGATTCAGGGGCAATCTCGCCACAAAGAGAAGTTCTGTGGTCCCTTCACAAACTTGTTCTGTCGCTCTCCAAGCTTTACAGATCGTCAACACCTATAAATAGATACCAAAAACTGCACTTTAATAAATAGATACCAAAAGCTTTACAGATCAACCTCATTCCAGCAATAACATTCGCACACTATAACCCCATACTCTTGTCTTCACTCACCAGCCAAACGCGAAACCAAAATTAGGGTTCGCCGACCTCCCCTCGCGATTCTGGGTTCGCCGACCTCGTCTCGCGATTTTGGGTTCGCCGACCTCGCCTCGCTTTTCTGGAATCAACCGACGGGTGCGACGAAGGATGATAGCGACGATTGCCCGGCTGAGACGAAGGATTAGGGTTCGCCGTCGTCGTCTATTCACCAGCCGGATGATGCATGGTTTCCTCTGTCTTCACCGGAGATGGAGGAGCGATATGGGAGACGTCGTTTACTGGAGCGACGGAGAAGTGGGTCGGGCAGTCGGGGTGTGGTCTTCGATCGATTCGTCGATCGGGAGAGATGGGGGAGCTGTGTTTGACGAGAGAAGAATGAGAGAAGAGGAAGGGTAAATCGCGTGAATGGTAAAAGGAAACTCGATTAATTGGTAAAGTTAGATTTAGGGTTTTACTTTTTTTTAATAATGAAATAATATACAATTTACACCAGTCCTGCCACGTAGATTAACAGCGTCCACGTTGCAAGCGTTCATTAGTCCAGTCAGCAGTCGTCAAATTCCCGTTAAAGTTTTGGACGGAATGGCTATACGAGTGTATTTTTCAAAAACTGGCTATATTTGTCACAACGCGAATAAATTTGGCTATGAAAGTGTATTTTGCCAAATTTTAATTCAAACTGCAACCGAACAACTTCTAAACATGCTATTTTTTTCCTCTGCCTTGAGCTTTATGATGACACCGGTAGAAAGAAAGAACCTGACCGTTCGTTGACACCCTGTCCGTCAAGCTACCACTCCAACCTGGCGGAAGAAATGGAACGAAAATGGATTTTAGTTTGGTTCTTGGCTGAAACGATGGTTTGGCTTTGATTGACTATGGGCTGAACGCAAAATGATTTTCGTTCAGGCCATCGGTCAACTAAAGTCAAACATTTGATTTGCATCGGGCTCAAACCAATTTTATTGGTTTCTGATTGCTCAAAAATATTATAATTAATTTTTAATATTCCAATTATTTATTTACTTTTAGTTAAACTTTAATTGAATGTTAAGAATTAGATATTTGAAAATTTTAGGAGAAATGATTTTTGTTATTTTATGAATGGTGTATTTGTTGAGTGCAAACTATAGAAGGAAAGATTAATGGTAAGATGAATGGTGTATTTGTTGTGAGAAATAATTAATCTGGAAAAAAATTACAACTTAAAATGAAAGAGAAATAATGTATTAAATTTTGTAAAAGAAATGTTAGAGACCTTTCGTAAATGATTATGTGACATATTATGTACAACAACATTGTGCACTGTAACCGTTCCCATGCCATATCCCAAGTTCTAGCTG